AAAAAAATAAAAACCATTTTGGCTTATTCAATCAATTGACTACTTGAAATTAGAAAAGCACATCTTATTTACAAACTACCACATGGTGCTTAGTAGGTGCATGTCATATTTTAAGAAGATATCAAGAACGGTGGTTTGAAGTTATCATAAAAAAAACAATTTTTTCTCAAAATGTCAACATCATATAGCTCGAAAGTTAGGTGGTTCAAGGCATGTGTTCATATGAACCTTTCTTCTCAAAATGAGCTAAGAAACTATATCATATATTTTCAGATCTCAATCAAATTACTACTCTAAAAAAAAAAAAAAAAGTTGAGGAATGAGTTGTTAGACATATGCATTTTTATCTTCTTGATGTTTCCATAGTGACATGATTACTTCTTATAATATATTGGTCAAATTACAATCTCTACGAATTTTTCATATCTTTTAAAAAAATGCAAGATTGAATTGGTAACCGCGTTGTGAAAGTAAAAATAGTAGCTATCTTGAATATCCTATAATTTGACAGGACAAGTAGGTCTATGAAGAAATAATGACTTTACAATCAAACAGGAATGTCTGAAAAACGATAGAGAAAATCTAGGTAGAGGTTCAATGACATTGATTAAGGTAGATTACATACCCAAATTGCATATTTTTTGACTTGTAAACTGAATAAGTAACGACGCCATCGGATTTTTTTCTGGACTCATACCTACTATGACTCAAAGGTGGGTGTAGACGTAACGACTCTAAACAGCAGGGACATTAAGCGATTTCTTCAGAAAATTGTTTGAGGTATTTAGAGAGTGGACACACTAAAAGTCCTGTCGTCTAGGAGGGTATCTGAGGGAGGAGGGCAGTAAAAGAGGGTTTTCCTTTTGGGTTTATCGCTTTTATGCCAGAAACGGTTTGACGTAGAAAAATGAGAGCTGATGAAATTATTCACAACTTCCTTTCCATACCCTTTTTTCTAATCATCAATCGTTTTCGAGCTGCACGCTCCGGAAAGTGATATTTTTTCAATAAAACATTATTATCTGACATTTCTTCATATTGTCTGAACGATTCGATCCAGAGGGAAATTCCTTCAAAAAAGTTGTAGAAAATTGAATTTTTCCTTCAAGAATATATGCACTGGGTTATATCTATATCGTAGAGGCCCACGTTATTTTTCACAAAACATAAACACATATGGTTAGTATAAGTTGAATGCCGCGATGAGGCATTTTCATAGACCATATCAGGAATTTTACAGGGTAATCTATGAAAGCATGACAAATCACAAACCCGTTTCTTTTTAAATATTTTTTCTGTAGATGTGGACCTCGCTGATATTTTGATTGCTCAAACTTCTACCACCCGAGACATCGGGCTACTGGATTACTGGAAACCAAAACAATGACATTGTCCAACCAAGAGATGCCCCAAAATGGATTTGAACACTTTCTGTTCTCATATTTATTCACTGGCACAACATCTGCAACGTTCAGGAGGAGGGGAACATCCCGTTTGACCCTAATTTCGATTCGCCCAATTTTCGATTTACCCAATTTTCGATTCACCCAATATTCGATCTACTCAGCGTCTCCGAACATACCCGATAGATGCGTTGTTGTCAAATACTGCCATATTTCTTCGGATTCAATGAAACGGTAATTTTCCACAATCATTTTATCACATTCAAATATGTCGTTGGGCCCACCTATTCTTCATTCAGATTTGGCAATATCGATAATTAGGTGAATCAAAAATTGGGCGAATGACATTGTCCAACCAAGAGATGCCCCAAAATGGATTTGAACACTTTCTGTTCTCATATTTATTCACTGGCACAACATCTGCAACGTTCAGGAGGAGGGGAACATCCCGTTTGACCCTAATTTCGATTCGCCCAACTTTCGATTTACCCAATTTTCGATTCACCCAATATTCGATCTACTCAGCGTCTCCGAACATACCCGATAGATGCGTTGTTGTCAAATACTGCCATATTTCTTCAGATTCAATGAAACGGTAATTTTCCACAATCATTTTATCACATTCAAATATGTCGTTGGGCCCACCTATTCTTCATTCAGATTTGGCAATATCGATAATTAGGTGAATCAAAAATTGGGCGAATCGAACGCAAACGTACCCAGGAGGAGCAGAGTGAAATTTTCAAAATTGTAATTGGGACTCTGAAATGATTAAGGAAGCTGCAAAGATCTCCAACCATCTCTCCTTCACTCACAGCGAGGTTGAAGAGGCTGGGAAGATATGCTTCCTCAAATGATACTGGGTACCAGCAATACAGGCCTTCCAAGCAGTCAAGCAAAATTTATTTTAGTCTACTACATGAAATAACCTGTTTTTCAAGTTTTGCAACACATAAGTATATAAAGAGCTGTAACAAACACTATTTGTGGCCCAGAAATTTCAAAATCAGCTTCTGTTTAAAAAATGGTGTAGCTGTTGACCAGTTGGAGTACTCTATAACATTCCTCGAACAGTTGGAGATTCGGAAAATATATATATAGAAAGAAAGATGTGAAGAATTTTATCAGCTGTCATTTGATATCAGGAATTTTTTTGGTACGACGAACGGTTTTCGATATCTACGCAACAGTAATTTCGCACCCCACAATTTTGCTTCTGTTGAAATATCAGTAACTTGTTTCTGCTTCGTACGATTTGAATTCGTATCAAACTGTTTGCTAGCCCAGTCCTTCAGCTATAATTTCGTAATTCTTCAAAACATAACGTTCTTCACGTGGAATCGCGTATACCTCACGCTCCTGTAAGTTTCAGAATCCTAACTCAACAATTACGGAATATACGGAGGTGCTTCCATTAGAAGTGAGACACACTGTATAATGTTCCCTTTGAGTCAATTCTGATCTTCATATCTCTTTATCTGAAGTTTCAGCTTCAAAATGAGATTTTAAAAACGGGGTGACAAGGAAAAAAGTTATGACTGCAAAACGAAAGTTAATTTTTTGAGATCACTCTGTGAATATGAAAGAGATAGAAAGACAATTTGAAAAATGTCCCTAGGTAATGGAATCATCTTCATGCCGCTGCTGTCAAAGTTGAAAAACAAAGTTTTTGTTCATTTGGAATCAGTTTGAAAATTCCGAAATTTTTCACAGTTTCAGGTGACGCCCTGTAGCGATTTTATATGAAGAACCTCATGTTTCCAAAGGGTACGATATTATAGCTGAAAGACTAAGGACCGTCTTTCACGTATCAGAGGCCCTGGGCACATTAGAATAATGGGGCCCCTATGACCATAATAAAGTACTATATCCGTCGACCTCATGTTAACGAATAAGTTTAATGTTTATGAAATCGTTTATTAATGACCCCTATTAATGACCAATTTGTCTATTAATGCACGATTGTTTTATAGGCAACCAAACATACACCGCGTGCATTCATTGTTTATGCTATAACTCACGGAATCTGCATTTGAATCGAAAATATGGATTCCATTGAAGATTTTCCGTTAACGGGTTCCCCTTTCCAAGTTTGTGAAACGATTTTAACCCCTGTTTTCTAACACAAGGAATTTATTTTCTATGTTGATCATTTCCACAGATGTCAAATGTCACTAATGTGAGTAACTAGGCTACTAGGTGATTTTTAGTAGTTTCCAGATGAATGATGAATTCGCGAACCAAGTTTTCTTCATTGCAGGAGAAATGAGAAATATAGTCAACAGAAAAATTTTGTAACCAACTCGTATATTAACAGGCGATTAATGATCTCGAACATTAACGCGCTAGCTTCGCTCGCACGTTAAAATATCTCGATCATCAATCGCCCAAATTGATACACTAGTTGGTTAAATAACTATTATGTTAGAATAGACAAATAACGCAGAAATGCAAAGTTTTAGCATTATTTTTATTTCTTTACATTTATATTAGATATGATGAATCGATTTTATCATGTAATCCACACTAAGTAACCAGCATCCACGATTAGTCCTTATACTCCTTATATCTAGTATCTATGCTGATTGAAGAGGAACCCTTCTAGATTTGAATTGAGCAAAATCGTTAATTGTTTTCGAGCATATCACATTCTATCGGCATAAGCGACAAACTATTCAATCTCTCTTGAAGCATTGTACTTCTTAATTCACTTTTTATTCGTTTTAATTTGGAGAAGGAGCGTTCCCCACTGCAGTTAGTTACCATCATACTTAGAAAGATTCTCAGTGCGATTTCTACATTAGGAAAAGGTGTCTTCAATTTTGCTCTCTTTCAAAAGATTATATATTTCCAGTATACCATTTTTTAATTTTTACTCTGATCAATTTTCAAGTAGCTATCGGGACTAGGGGGCCCCAATCATCGCGGGGCCCTGGGCACGTGCCCAGTGTGCCCAGTGGGAAAGAGGGGCCTGGAAAGACTAAGATAGCGAACAGTTGTAATCCGAATTCAAATTTTCCAAAGCAGAAAAAAGTTATTCATATTTTAACAGGAACAAAATTTTGGGGTGCGAACTTTCTTACTATACTCCCTCCTCCTCCTCTCAGACGTCAGGACTTTCAGCATGTTAGAACGAATTTCTAAAGAAATCGCTTAGGTCCCTGCTCACGTACTCTAGAACCCCTTTATTGAGTGGAGCTATACTTATATTTTAACATTCAAACAGGGCAAACTTTTCTGAAAAAAAAGTGGGTACAAAAATATTCTTCAATAATAGCAGTAAATTTGTACCTATAAAGAGTATTGTCAAAAATTCGGATTCGCCATGATCTAAACAAATAGCTTTTGGAAACAAATTGTCGCGAACAAAATTTTGGAATTGTCAGTATCAGCATCCTATCAGTATAATCATAATAGTGTTGAAAAACAGAAAAACATGTTAAACACAAAGTTATGTGAGATTAAATAAGGAGAATATCTGAGTCAAAAATTGATTTTACAACGGTATATGTATATTTCAAGAAAACAGATTTATCACGGATTTCATTCTGGAATCATATTGTAAAAACAGCATGTTATGATATTATATATAGGTACCTGGAATTATAACTTGGAGAAGTAACCATATTATCTGTAGATGATCTGGTGATGTTTGGTTTCACTTTATTGACTTGTTTAATGGAATTGATCATGTTAGCTGTAGGGACTGTACTGTTACGGTGATTCTGCTGGTTCCTGTTGACCACTGTGAATAAAATAATATTTTATATAAATAGAGAAACGGCATTTCATGGATATTTCATCATTCCAGTAGTTTGATTACAATATTGAATAGTAACTCTTTTCTTTTTGCTCGCTCATTATATCTTGAGGTTTCAAAGTTATAACGGGTGACGCGGAACCAATTTGCCCCCCTGTATGTTCGTTGCTATTTTGTATGGATGTTTCAAATTTTGTTCATCGAATTCAGATATCAGACCTAATATGACACTTCCGGTTTGACCGGTACATAGTATAATTTTTTTCTGGAAATTACGATTCAGTATAAATAAATTACCTTTCCAACGATATATCGCAATCATACTTTCATTATACAATATACTCATATGTATAATTGAGATTTTATGAAAAAAAAAATGTTTTTGCATTTCCCTCGTAACTTGTAGGAACATTATCAAATTGAATAATTTCTTGCGTCAGCTTTTGCAGTCTCAATAATGATTCTAAACCAATGGAAAAAATTCAATATCATAGCCAACTAATATGAGTTCAATACAATGTAAGTAGGTATATAGCATGGAGATTATCTTCATTGAAACTAAATAGGAAACAGAAAAGTGAATATTTTTCCTGTTTTGTATTTCAATATGTATGGGATTTTCTAACCAACTTCAGAAAATTCTATGAAAGCATATAAAAAATGAGTTCATTTTGTTGTTGAAAAATAAAGAAGAACTCAAATTGTAAAATATAGTAAGTGTGCATGCGGAGCGAGTGCTTTAATAAACGAGTGTCTAAAAGAGTTTATGAACGCGTTACATACTATACTCTTTCTACAAATTCATAATTCGTCTCTTCAACAAGATCCCATAATTCCTAAAATAAGATCAACCTACTCTGTTAACCTACAAATTAATTTGAAGGAAATGGGAATTGAGAAGATGATATTATGCAACTGCATGCAACCAAAGAGGCACGTATAAGTTATATTTGTTTTAGATATGTCCAGTCCATATAGGATACATGAATTTTACTAACCTATGTGAATAAGAAGTTTTCATCTGACGTAGAAGATAAAAACTCTTCGAATTCTCAGGTTTGTATTTATATTCTGATTTGATTGCATTATATATTGCTCAAATGGATATTGTGTTATACGTTTATTATCATGCTTAGCATAGAATAAATTGCCCACCAAGATGAGAGCTTAATTTTTACCTAGAGTTCTTGGTAATATGCAAGTATCTACCTGAAACATTCTCTTCGATTTCACTTTCGTCTACATTTCGCTTACATTTTTAATGTCATCACAAATAACTTATACTTATTTTGAGTTCGATCATATTCATTTTGCATCTCAGAAATATCAAGAGAACCAACTGCATGATATTGATCATGAACCATTACAATAACTAAAACATAGATGTTCTGAATTATACAGGATTGCTTATTACGAGTTATCAATACGCCAGGCGATAAAGTAGTCCGCGAACGGTAAAGAGCCGGGCATAATAGCTATTTATACAGTGTGTCCATTTAGTGCGTAATTCTTCGATATCTCGAAATCCATCATCACTAGAGAAAAACTTTTGGGGACAAATTTCTTGCGTTATTGAAGGTTTCCATTTCGAAAATATTTTCAACAATTCTGGGTGTTTTATAACAGCAGGACGACTCGGAGACGAGTTTTTTTAAATAAAACACCCAGTATTTTTTATTAGAAATTTTTTGCATTAAGGTTTAGCTCCACATAGCTGTGAAAAGAATTGAATTTGGTTGCGGCGTTGCCAAGTTATAATTGATAAACCCATTTTTACTACTATTGAAGGGTCATGTTGAATTGGTTATGGTATATTCATTTATCAAAAATTTGAAAATATATTTGGCATACAGTAGTAGCAAGGTCTCACGTACACCAATCCAGTAATTCTGCGAGACAATCATTTACAGGGTGCTAAAATTCACATTCTGAATATTTGTAAGATTCAGACGACGTTCATTAAAATGTTTCAAATGGAACACCCTGTATATTTCATCACAGATTTATTTCGACATCATTCGCCTTTTTATCGCTGAAAAAAATAAAAATAAAAATCGGTTGCGGCGTTTTCAATTTATGAGTAATTTCCTTATGTTTATCACTATCTCAGGGCTAATTGTAAGGAATGGTTCCTTTATTTGATTTGAGTGTGGGAATATTGCTTGTCACATAACATTCGAGGCATTGTCCAAATTTAAAATATTCCGTAATCTTGTTACTTATGATTCAAGTAATATGTACCTATGTAAAACAAACAAACATGCCAAAAGCAACGTCTGCCTTTTGAACAACTTCTACAATACAAACAATGGCAGATTGGGATTGCGAGAATAGGGACAATTTTTTAAAATTCGGATCACATTTATTGTCGTTATTCCCACAATCCAAATCTCCATTTAACTTGAAGGAGGCAAACTATATATATAATGATACAAACAAAATTTCATTACTATACTCGGGTTTCGGGAGGGAATTCAGCAAAATTTTAATTAAATTCAAGATATATTTGTTTGTGGCAGTGTTTGACAGGTCATTACACAAATAATGGGAGTGTATTTCAAAAAATGTATTCATAGTCTGCAAAAAATCTGTGAAAGTAGCATTTTGGATCAATTTGTCAAAACCCACTCTGTTTTAAATTCAAACTTGAAGAGCCTGTAAATGTTCCTATTGTAAAAAATATACAATACAAATAGATGAAAGAACTATGACGTACAAATTACCCCGGAATAGTAGAAAAAATAAGGAAGTTATCCATAACTTGACAACGCCGCAACCGATTTCGGTGTTTTTTTCAGCGATAAAAAGGCGAAAGATGTCGGAATGAATTTGTGAATAAAAATACAGGGTGTTCCATTTGGAAAATTCTAATGAATGTCATCTGAATCTAGCAAAATTCTAAATGCAAAATTGAGCACCGTGTTGAAGAACATGTCGCAATATCACTGGCTTGGTATACGTAAGATCTTGCTACTATCGTATGCAGAACATATTTTTAAGATTCAAACAAATGAATATACCATCCCAATTCAACATTACTCTTCAATAGTGGTGAAAATACATTTATCAATTATAACTTGGCAACGCCGCAACCGATTCTAATTATTTTCACAGAGATGTGAAGGTAAACCTCGGTGGAATAAATTGCGTATAAACAATACTGGGTGTTCCATTTGAAAAAATTCGTCTCCGAGTCGTCCCGCTTTCAGAAAACACCCAGTAATGTTGAAAAAATTTCTGAAATAAACAACTTCAGTAACTCAAAAAGTTTTTCCTTCAAAGTTTTTCTCTGTAGGTCATCGCTCTCGAGATACCAAAGAATTACGCACTAAATGGACACACTGTATATATGAAGGGGGGAAAGGTATCTATTTCCTCCCGCGTGTGAGGTTTGATGCACGACGAGCAGCGGAGGGCATTAAACACACATGGGAGGAAATGAACCTTTGCTCCCATGATATATGTATAATTTTATCAAAGAACGCACTTTTTTATAGCATCATTCTTGAAATTGTGCTTCAGGCGGTCTATTTCTCGATCAAAATCATTATGCAATACAAAGGTATAGTTTGCCATGGACAACTGACGGATTTGAACGAAAGTCAATTTGACACTTCTTTCGTAAAGGATCAATTGATTTGTATATTATGTAACTCCATTTGAAAGGTTTGATTAGAACTACGTTCGGAATATCATTGGAATTCAAAAAGAATATTATTGTTATTTGTTTCATAATAGTGATAAAGACAACTTTGTTTCCTTAAATGCCAAATGCCTACTTTCGATTCAGTGAGTAGATAAAAATTATTTTATTGTGTAAGAACTTTCAGATCGAATTATTGTATGCACATGCTATTGTTCCATTGTCCATAGCACACTTTCATGAAAATTTTCCGTTACAAGGGGATAGCAAAAAAATATTTTTTTGTAAAAACTCAATTATGACTAAGTATATTTTGGATCAATGATATATGATATATCCTTAGAAATGTAATTTTATACTTGATCGTAATATCCAGAAAAAAATTATACTTTGTATTTGACACAAAAAATATTGGATGCACTTCTAGTCAAACCGGAAGTGTCATATATTCAGTCTGGTATAAGCAAAGTCATACACTCGTGTAATCAAATCGATGTACCTAATTTGAAACTTCCATTCAAAATAGCAACGAAGATACAAGGGGGTAAGTTGGCTCCGAGTCTCCCGGTATATGTATACTAACACCTGTGCCGATTGAAAATATGGCTACCTACCTGCTACTTTCACAATACCTCAGCTCCAACACAAATTCAATAATATGTACCTATTTTGTGCAAGTGCATTATCACCCACAAGTATAGAAACATTATTCAAGCAGGGTGTTTCTTTATCTACCTAATACATCTTTGACTATAGATATCGAAAAAAGTGTTTTCAAGCCCAGAATAAACATCATACTATATTCTAACACATATCATATTATATCAACACCTAAAACATTATAAAGTAACTTTTATAAAAGATAGAAGGGAAGTGGTATATAGTGAATATACTGCCCCACTAAGCAAGACCCCCGTATATAGATTTTTTGCCCATTTCATATTATAGGTAGTTCTGATTTCTAACTATTAACTAAGCAAGAATACCGTAAAATGACTCTATAATAATTCTTGATTATTTTAAACATCGTATTTGAAAATATCATTGGCCGAACTGAGCAAGAACACAGTAAATTGACGTTGCTTAGCAGAAACATCGCAAAAGGATTAATATACTTCAATCTATTTGCCGTCTTTTTTTTTAGTTGCTTCAAATATAGCTGGCAAGAGCTTTTGAGACTCAAAATTACATTATTGTTTTCCTCTGTTCGACGATTTTAAAATGTTCGGGGGTTTTGCTTATCAGGGCAGTACCTAACTAAAACAATATTTTTCAGAGGTGAGATGTGTGTGCACATGGTACATAATAATGGGTTAATAATAGTAAATCTAATAAAAATAGAGAATTGTGTATTTACATGGTGAATAGCAACAATTTATTTTTCCTAATGCAGTTATTTAGAACGTATAATTATTTTGAATGATGAAGCAAGACAAGCTCAAAAACTAGAAGGTGTTGAATTGACCCATGAGATTAATACCAATGATAAGAAGGTATGAATTTAGTGTCTATTTGCTTGAGGGATATTTAATATGAGGAAATTGATCAATATATTTGTTTATTGTGTGACTAGCACAATATATGCAATATTGGCAGAGACATCTTTGATTGCCCGTCATAAACATCTATCAAACTGGTGAATATTGGATCCCCATATCGCACATGTGTAGACTTAATTTCACTCCACGTTCAGATGATTGAGTGATAAGTAATGACTTGATTCATTTTCTGTCCCTATGACATTTTCTTCTACACTTTTCCCAATTCTAGTTCAAAAACCGACAAGTCGATTTTAAATTATATTTCGATTTAATCAATTTAATCAGAACTTGTATTAGTTTTATCACTTCTATTGCAAAATGCGTCAAATATATTTCAAATGAGACAATTTAATTCAACGAAGTATCAATTGTTTTCAAAATTATCAATCCAATTTCAAAATGTAAGTGCATGTTTCAACAGCAATCCATCGCGTACTATTTGAAATTCAAGTAAAAATATGACTACTATGAAAATTTGATATACCTACTACAATTATTGGAAAAGGTGAAAAAATCAAGAATAACTGGCATCCTGGCGACTGGTCAGCTGATTTTATTTCAATTTGCTAGTCGAGTAATATAGGGGATACTAGTTTTACTGTGAATAAGCATACTAGTAACTTAGTGGGTAAGCTCTAAGAATGTATCAAGAAGCACGAATGATATATGTGATGAATGAATATAATGATCTTCTGAAGAAGCAAAATTACGACGCGTCTGAACTGCCATCCTTGAAGAACTTTTTTTTTTCACGAATATTTGCCTAATTTACAGTTGCAACTGTAAATTAGCACTAATTTACAGTTGCAACTGTAAATTAGGCAAAAGAAACTTTTTTTTTCTAAATATCGCCTAATTTACAGTTGCAACTGTAAATTAGAGAGAGAAAACTTTTTTTTTTCGAAAAACCTCCTAATTTACAGTTGCAACTGTAAATTAGCGCTAATTTACAGTTGCAACTGTGAATTAGGCCTAATTTACAGTTGCAACTGTAAATTAGGAGATATTTTGAAAAAAAAAGTTTCTTCTGCCTAATTTACAGTTGCAACTGTAAATTAGAACAAGTGAACTTTTTTTTTTCTACACATCTCCTAATTTACAGTTGCAACTGTAAATTAGAGTCTCACAGTCTCAGTGCTCACAATTTCTCACCAGACTAACAGACATAGGCAGCGCAGCTTTCATTCTTCGATAGCACGCGATGGCGATGCGCTTTTAGAACAAGAAGTAATAGACTGTTGGCCCGCGACACAGGGTTTATCGATGTTCTAAGTCGGTATGCCATTTAAGGGACCCACTCACTTAGTCCAAGTTAACAGGAAGGAGTGCCTCGGAGAGTCGCAACCCAGTCCTTGCCCTGGCCCTGACCTCACCTTTCGGTTGGAAAAAAGTTCAAAATTTTGTTCAAGAAGAAGCTCGGCAATGAAGTGCAATGATCTTATCTCACGACAATTGGGGCGCTTGCTGGTTTGCATACGCCTAGGTCACTCCTCAAGGGCGGCATACGAACCGGAAGTGGCAATTTTTCAATATTATAGTCGATGATCGAAGAATGTATGCCCTTTGGCGAAATCATAAATTCTGACCCATTAATCAGTTTCCCGACATTTGCATACGATTCCGGAGAGGGGAGCTCGACTTATTCGAACATCAATTGACTAGACATCTTTAATATAATCGATGATTTAAGTTCGTATGCAAATCTTTAGACCGATAAACTAGGGTATTTTTTATAACTGGATGCTATTTGCATACGAATTCAATGTGAGCATACCTTGTAATAATCGGGCGAACCTTCGCGTGCCTAGGTCCGGCGCGGCGCCCCGCACTGCAGGCCAGAGGTGCACCGGAAGCGAACTAGATAATCGGGAAGTCTCATAATCTCACTTCACATGAAACCGGGTCAAAGATCATCTTCCTGGTAGTGATGGGGATATTCGAAGACGCAAATTGCAGATATATTTGTATTTATTCATCAGAAATTTACAGCTCAACAAAATAACATGTGTGAGAGGTTTAGTACCAAGAAATTTTTCTGTGTGATTTTAATTTGAAAAACAGGGCTTTGAAAAGATGATAAAAAAAATTGACAACAAGATACTCGCAAGATGATCAAGAGGGATCGTACAGGGAGAAGAGGGGTGGATTATTGCTCATGATCGAAACTCACAATAAATCGAATTGAAATTCTTCCTGGGGCTTATGGGACTGCTCATCATAATACTGGTGTCTGAAAAATATATAAAGAATGTACATTTAGTCTGTTGAATGTTTTGGGTATAGTATGGGGTCTGTATCCTGAACTTCAATCTACATTTTTGATTTTCACATAAAAAAAATTATTTGAAAATGAGATTATATTAAATGAGAACAACATTATATTTCAAAGGAAAAATTAAACGTCATCCTCTCTATCTTCAGAGTCATCTTCGCTCTCGCTGTCTGAATATGATTCTCCAGAGTTGTCATCAGTACCTGTTAGTAAGAATATTATTTAATTATTGAAAAATCTTGGCATGATCGAAAGATATACCTGATACTTTCTCAGTTGATGTCTCAGAGATTATGATATCACCAACCTCTGGTTGAAGAGCTTCACCAAGGTACCAATGGAAATCGTACCCAAAAAAAGTATCAAGGGCCCAGCCCCCTTCATTATTTTTCATGTAACTGACAATGACATAACTTCATCAAACCCAGTATAGTTGAGTTTAGCGATAAGATTCACACGCTGCACTTATATACAGGGTTACTGGTAATCCGGTTCATACCACTGGTAGGGGAGGCAGTAAGAAGTGAATAAATCTGTAATATACATTATTCAAAAGTAAATGGTTTTTGAGATATTTAAATATCGGATCTCCGACAAAAGGGAAAAACATTATTGAATGCCTACTAAATCATTACGTGCTACACTCTACCCGGCTGCCGCAGCAAATCATTGTTCAGATATGAAAATTGTTTCAGCAAAAAAAAAAGGAAATACTTCAAACCCGGGATTCATATTTCTGGCACAATTTGACAATTTGGCGCATGATCGCTATAAGAGTGCTGCGTGTAAATGATATCGCTAGATGCTGTAGAGCTGTATTCGTCATAATAATCTCAACTCGATAGTGAGATAAAGTATAGTGTTCCAGTAAAAAGAAATCAACAACTACCCAATAGTTCATTTGTTATGAACAGCCTGTGAATTTTTTTATAACAATGAAAAATCTCTTAGGAAAATCATTTTAATTGGTTTTTGAAATTTTAAAATCGGTTCAGAAACAACTAAGTTACAATGGGAGATAATTATGGTGAAACACCCTGTACGGAATGTGCAAATTGTATGCAAGCCATCATCTCATATATACTGTGTGGTCCACCAACCATGGTCAAAATTTGAACATTTCTTCGATTATCGATTATTTGAAGAATATCCAGTCAAATAATGTTCGAATAAGTCGAGCTACCCTCTCCGGAATCGTACGCAAATGTCGGGAAACTGATTAATGGGTCCGAATTCATTGTTTCGCCAAAGGGCATACATTCTTCGATCATCGACTATAACACTGAAAAATTCCCACTTCCGGTTCGTATGCCGCCCTTGGGGAGTGACCATGATACTAATCATGGGGAGTGACCTAGGCGTATGCAAACCAGCAAGCGCCCCAATTGTCGTGAGATAAGATCATTGCACTTCATTGCCGAGCTTCTTCTTAAACAAAATTTTGAAATTTTTCCCAACCGAAAGGTGAGGTCAGGGCCGGGGCAAGGACTGGGTTGCGACTCTCCGAGGCACTTCTTATTGTTAACTCGGACTGAGTGAGTGGGTCCCTTAAATGGCATACCGACTTAGAACATCGATAAACCCTGTGTCGCCGGCCAACAGTCTATTACTTCTTGTTCTAAAAGCGCATCGCCATCGCGTGCTATTGAAGAATGAAAGCTGCGCTGCCTATGTCTGTTAGTCTGGTGAGAAATTGTCAGCACTGAGACTGTGAGACTCTAATTTACAGTTGCAACTGTAAATTAGGAGATGTGTAGAAAAAAAAAGTTCACTTGTTCTAATTTACAGTTGCAACTGTAAATTAGGCAGAAGAAACTTTTTTTTTCAAAATATCTCCTAATTTACAGTTGCAACTGTAAATTAGGCCTAATTCACAGTTGCAACTGTAAATTAGCGCTAATTTACAGTTGCAACTGTAAATTAGGAAGTTTTTCGAAAAAAAAAGTTTTCTCTCTCTAATTTACAGTTGCAACTGTAAATTAGTGCTAATATACAGTTGCAACTGTAAATTAGTGCTAATTTACAGTTGCAACTGTAAATTAGGCGATATTTAGAAAAAAAAAGTTTCTTTTGCCTAATTTACAGTTGCAACTGTAAATTAGTGCTAATTTACAGTTGCAACTGTAAATTAGGCAAATATTCGTGAAAAAAAAAAAGTTCTTCAAGGATGGCAGTTCAGACGCGTCGTACAAAATATACAAACACCGCGACCTTACTAAACAATATACTGATGAGTTTTCTCTGACATTACTAGGTTATTGGGATTTTTAATAGCCCAGTGAAGGGAGAGAAAATGCAAATTAATCAATACTAAAATAATCGATATCTGTGCACAGACGAATTTGGTGACTAGCTTTAAATACAATTGAAATACCTCGAATATGATCTTTCTTGGGCAACTCTGGTGGAGTGAAGGTAGGAGGAGGATGATGGTCATCTGTAAACCATAAACCAATCTCACACATTTAACTAAGTACCTACTTCTATTTCATCTATACTACACCCAATATTGCAAAAGAAATATCATTTGAGATATGGTCATATTTTATCGCTGCGCACATCCACCTATCCAAAAAACCTACATCCACTTGAACGATTTATTGAATCAGTCAATTGGTAGGTAGATCTAGAAAAAATATACTATAAAACAAAATCTATAGTATAGTTTAATTCTACGCGTTCCATTCTTGCAATTTTTGTGCATCCACTTTTCATGGTCCAAAATTGATTTTGTCGAATAACAAAAATATAAGCTATGCAGGTTTCTCAGGAAGCAGTTGTTTGAACGATCCTCACTGAATTTTTGTAACGAAATAAAATTGTCACTTTGCATCTATTAGCTATACTTGAGAATGCCAAGTATATTATATGTATATTTGAGAAAAACAATGGGTACTTTCAGAAAACCACTTCCAGAGACACCCAGATGTTTCAAAACAGAATGTTTATTTTCTTGTTTGAAAAAGTCAAATTCAATTGAAATAACAAAACGAATCGATGGAACTGTAGGAAATTACTTAGTTGAAAAAGGATCCTATCACCGTCTAAAAAGGAAGATAGTTGAATTATATTTTATGTTTAGTTGATGTATTCGCCACTATTTGCAGTGCTATACCCGTCGTGATAAGTAGGTAGGTTTATTGAAGTAGTATTTGTTATTATCATCTGATTATTTCATTTCGAAATTTTCAAAAGAATACTATTAGCTGTGAATCAGGAGGAGTGAAAGAAATTCCAGTCACAACTCCACCACATAAACAATTTAATAATGACCCACGGTCATGATTAATCCTTCGAAACATGTACTTTTGTCATTGACCATTGGTCATTATTAGATCACTGAATGACTTATCTTCTGTAGTCTATGTTATTACACATTGTTTATGTGGTGGAGTTGTGACTGTGTTATTTCAACCCTCCTGGTTCTTTCATCCTAATTATCATCCAATTATAAAGGTAAATGAATATTCGTTGGAACAATTTGAGTTGTCGCTACCATGTGTATCAATGCATTCTTCCATAACTATTGAGTAGCGGCATAATATATTTTTTAAATACCGACAAGATATTTTCTCTCAACATATTGGGCATTTATTTCTAAGTATTCAATACAGACTAGTGCGGAACATATACGTTATCTATGTGAATTGAGTTTCTGTTGTATTTGTAATAATGAAATATCTTAGAACCAATAAATATATATATATATATATATATATATATAATATAGTACAGCGTGTCTCACATTCAACGCCCCCCTCTATATCTCACCTATTAGTCGTGCGATTCGTACAAAATTTGGACCGGAATGAATAAAGTTCATATCTGATCAAATTTTCAAACTGTTGACTCCTTTTCATTTCAATAAAAACGCATGGCGAAGTTCAAAATGATATTCGCCCCCTGTATCTCACTGTAATTTCAATGAATTTAGAATATTCAAATTGAATAAATGTAACACAGAGGGGGATATACAAATCAATTAAATTTTGACAGGTTTATATGTTTTACTGAAAATATAATAGTCAAACATCGTCATCGTTTATATTATTTCTCGCTTTATATAGTTCTAGTATTATGTGTTTCAAATACATCTAGAAACTGAATTTGATAGGATCTACTGTGCAACAAGACCATGCAGCATGCAGATCAGATTCTATATCATGCAACTCAACAAATCCCTTGATTTTGTGACATTTTAGACATTCGCCCTTCTAAGACATTTCTCAAAAAAAGCTGGAAAGATATTATATTTCATATTCACATCCAGGCATATGGTCAAAAATATGATTTAGCAGAGAGGAACATGAGAATTTACCGTGTTCAAGCTATTCATGCTCCATGCTCCATCATTTGCTAAGTGAAATATACTGATACTGATTGATTTATAAGATGGTGCGACAACATTAAAATATTTAATATTTTTCATGTATAATTTCTTACGATGTAAAATGTTAAATATTATGGTTTTGTTATTTGGCAGATAGATAATAAGTATCGCATTTATTTAACATGGAGAATATAGTTAGTTATGGAAACTTAATCGTTGAAAACCCTATCTAGACTATCCAATTCATAGAAAGATTTAAGAACAAATAATGTTTGTACCTTGGGATCCTGGAAAATATGATTGAGTATGAATAATCTATAAAATTGTATAGTGTTCGCATCCAGTGAAATATCACAGGTTAGAAGAACTTGAAATCCATGATGGTTTTATTGCAAGTTATAGTTTTTGAAGAAAAGTATCAAGCAATCCATCTGAAAACTATTTTAGATGCAAAATCATGCAAATATACATATCCAGCATCCGAAAAGAGGGAAATGATTCTTAATTGAAAAAAATTCAAAAAGTCCTATGCCTTTGCGAATTATGAAGAGGATGTACCTAGTACATGCGATTCACCACCCCTAGGCGCCCGGCATTGAATAGATTGATAATATACAGGGTGTTATTTAAGTACGTGGCCAAACTTGAAGGGGTGATTCTTTAAGTGATTCTAAGACGAAAAGTTCATATAAACATAGGTCCGGTAATGCTTCGTTTTCAAGATACAGGGTGTCAAAATTTTTAAAAGAAATCGTTTTTTTCGTAAATATCTTAATAACCCTTCAACCGATTTTATTGAAATTTGACAGTGTTATTCAAGGTCGTGAAGGGCAAATTTAACCCCAACTATATCAAAATTATCATGTCCAGTGGCGTCCCCATAAGGCACTGTAACCAATATTTTTGACAGAAAAAATGTGCGCCACTGATTTTTTTTGCAATTTTTGTATTTGTTTCACATTGAGCAACTAAAATTACAACTTTTTTATATCTATAATTTTTTTCGTATCTTGCTTTGTTTTTGAGAAAAAACATGAAAATCACTTCATTGCACATCAATGTGACGAGCCGACGCAAAGAGCCGAAGGCAAGTGCTGCAATTCATGCATACATATTTTCTGTTTTTTCATTGCAATAATTTTGATAGAAAATTCCAAGACTAGAATAGAGTATTAAAATGAAAAAATATTAGTAAGACCCCAGTTTTTGATGGTTTAGTAGTTGAAATGTTTGATTGTGTTGTCACAGGGATGTGCAATGAAGTGATTTTATTGTTTTTTCTCAAAAACAAAGCAAAATACGAAAAAAATTCTAGATATAAAAAAGTTGTAATTTTAGTTGCTCAATGTGAAACAAATACAAAAATTGCAAAAAATTAGTGGCGCACATTTTTTCTGTCAAAAATATTGGTTACAGTGCCTTCCGGGACGCCACTGGACATGATAATTTTGATATAAGTAGAATAACACTGCCAAATTTCAATAAAATCGGTTGAAGGGTTATTAAGATATTTACGAAAAAAACGATTTCTTTTAAAAATTTTGACACCCTGTATCATGAAAACGAAGCATTACCGGACCTATGTTTATATGAACTTTTCGTCTTAGAATCACTCAAAGAATCACCCCTTCAAGTTTGGCCACGTACTTAAATAACACCCTGTATAGTAGCTAAGTATAAAGAAATATTTAGAAATTGTATGAGTATCTAGTGTGGGTTGCATGAGAGTAAAGTGGTATAATATTAGGGAGCTATTGCTATACAAGTTTATGCACCCATAGCATTCAGAAAAATTTTTGAATAGGTAATTTGAATCTGATATCATATCGTTGTATTAAAGTAAAAAGGGGTGGTACCTACCTATAGCAAAAAAGCATATTACTTCTATTTATTGACTTTAGACAGTAAAGGGAGATGATGTTCGGATGCCAACCGAACTTGAGCAAGACATTGTGGAGAAATCTTAGTCAAAAATTATAGTTTGAAATCTATTTCCATTAAGCATTGGCTATTTTATTGGTTTGTTAGAATTTTTCTTGTTTCATTGATGTCGAATTCAATGTTTATGTATGTTCGATGTTTTATTATATTGGATATGTCCACGGTCCAGTATATATTTTTTTATACTCCTTCAATATTATATTTGTTGTTTCATCTTGAGTAGATCTATTTTCAAAATGTACACGAACGAAATAAAAACATATGTATTCTAAGACTAGATTTAAAGGATTTGTGTGTTACCACAATAATTTTGAATCAACATGATAATTTTTGCAATTTGCATTGTTTTTGAGTAAGTGCACTTCAACAATTATAATTTAGTACATATGGGTTCATACATGTAAGATACGTACTTGGTTTCCCAATCAATTGTATAGCCTTGACGCCTTTCCTGAATGTCGTCACTGCATTTGAAACCAGACAGAAATATTCGTTGTTAGTAGTCACCTATACCTACATTTATTCTACTTTGACTGTGAAAATCTTCAAGCCAATAACCCATTGCAGAAGGAAGGTTCGCAAAAAATAACATACGATTCTTTTTCATTTGGGATGATCATTGAGTGTTGACTGGTGCTTTTTGAAAATGTAATTGATAGCTTCTATTCCTATATATCGAAAATAGATTTCAATCTTTTATACTCATCAGTTTGACAGATGTTTTATGACTCTGGTATGAATATTAGCGAATAGCTATACTCGTATGCCGAGATTATTACCCGTGAGTACTCAACTTCAACTGATGACCATAGTCCATACCCTTATAAAATTATTGTAAGAATTAGCACTGTTTTATACAGAATATTAGCATTAGGTTTCCTGGAAATATATTTTGCATTGTTCTAGAACGCAAGCGCTGAAAATAATGACCTTCATAAATTATGCTACTGAAAGTGTTGAAAGAAAGAAGTGATTAATTGTTTTGTTTTCACCTACATCATGGTCTATCATCATGGTTTATCATCATGGTCTAGACTTCAGAGTATCATCTTTCGATGAAGCAACATAATGGCTATCCACTTAATATTGAGTAATGTATGAATTGAATTTTTTCAAAACTGAAAATGTATGTTATTTGTAAAGAAAAACGAGTACTAAAAATACTGAACAATGAAATTTTAATGTGCTTTTAACTGAAATATGGTTGTGAAATAACCTGTATACATAGTTTTTCAATAAGATATAGTGATTTAACAAGAAAATAAATAAAAACCATGTAATTTCGTGGAATACTTAAAGGTATAGCACTTGGTGGCAAACTCGCTCCTACAGGGTGTATCTAAATAACACCAAAAAATGTTTATATGAACTTTATTTCCTAAAATTTCACAAGGAATCACCACTTGATTTTTTTCGGTGTTATTCAGATATTATGGTGTTATAGACTGGCCGGCAGTGACAGATATTTTGTAACGGGTTTCAATGTACGCAACTTTCAAGTAATGATTTTCATGGATTTCCAACATGTTCTAGACAATTATCAATTTGTGCTCGCATACAGCGGCGTCACCAATCAAATTTAAATTTGTAAATGTATGCAAATTGGTTCTTGTTGAAATTTAAAAAAAAAAAAACGTGTAGGGACACGAGTGCAAAGTGTGCAAATTTTTTCCGCGGTCATTATTTTCAAATTTCAACATGCATGCATTTACAAATTGTTCGAAATCATATTGAACAACGATATTGTCTTCGTTCAGGAGAGTGCGAGCAAATACTTTGACTTTTCTTTTCTGGTTGTTATATCTTCTTTTACTATGATTTTAATGATATTAAATTCTGCCATAAGGTGCCCATTTTCAGTGAGGATATATACAGCTGATACAGATTTGTCGGTATGTTTTTTTTATATTGTTCAGATGTTATTTTTTTTGTTTAATGACAAGTTGCCAAGAATAATGTTTCCATTTTAATGTTCGAAACGAGAGCATCTACCCCTATTATTCTGTTAAGTTTTGAAAAACATGGGCGGAGGCAATTTTTCATTTAAAAAAATTAACAAAATGGTAATGCTTTTGTTGTTCATAATGAATAAAATACCAAGTATATGCTATCGTTGTATTCCAAATAAAATTACATACAATTTCAATGAGAATATACAGGGGGTGCCATTTGAAAATAAGAAGGTACGGTAGCTACCACAAGGCTGTCAAATGTAATACATTTTATTCGAAAGGGACTTATCAATGTCATTCGAAGCACTTTTTATTTTTCGATTATCTCATCAAATAAGTGAGATATTGCCTGTATACGATAACTTGGGACGCCCTTTATTCCTCTTCTTCGAACATTTTTCAAAACAAAGTGTCGCTGAGTATCGATTGAATTAAATTTATTTCTTATGTCCTTATTGTAATAGTACTATATCATTATTACCCTTCGGAAAAAGTGGATGGTTACTCAAAATGGAGTAGTGGTGTAGTTTATACATCGGCATGTACTTTTGTCCATGATAGTCATCTGATGTTATGGTACAAATAATTTCTAGTGAAGCATTTAACACACCTACTCAGCTTTGGTTGAAATCGAGGTTGAAACTTTGTAGGTATATGATAATATTATGATTCTAGAATCATAGTCATACTAGTTTCAGAAATTGATGGAAATTGTATACAATATGTCCCAGTTATACAGTCAACAAAAACATTCGTTTTCGAAATAGAGAGTGTCAAAGTTGACAATATTCATAGATTCCTGGATATACAAAGTGTCTCGAAAGTACATAGAAAGATTTCAACTATAGATTTTAGGAACAAAAATGGTGAAAAATATGAACATGGGTCCGGAACTGACTCCTTGAGGGGTTATAGCCTTAAGCCACCTGAAGGAGAGCCCGAGATGATGGTTTTTTGTGAATAAACTACTCAACACTAATTTCGTCGCACACCAAAATGTCGCCCCTGTTATAATGTGAATAACTTTTTTCAGTTTAGAACGATTCGAATTTGGTTCACACTGTTCGATAGCCCAGTCCTTCAGCTATAATGTCGTACTTCATTGAAACATGAGGGTATTCACATACAATCTCTACATGGTGTTTTCCGACACTGTGCGAAATTTAGGAATATTCAAAAGGCTCTCAAATGGTGAAAACATTTTTTTTCTCAACTTCGACAACAGAGGCATGAAGATGATCTCATTACCTCGAGATATTTCGCGAATCAACTTCCTATCTCTCTTATTTACAGAGTGATCTCAAAAAATCAACTTTTTGGTTTTGCAGCCATAACTTTTTTCCACGTCAACCGATTTTGGAAATCTTAGGCTCATTTTGAAGATAAAACTTCAGATGAAGAGATCTGAATATCAGAATTGACTCAAAATGGCTATCAAAGATCTAGAGTTTTCTTGAAAGTGACCAAAATCTGGAACACCCTCCGAATCTCGATTGGGAGGAGAATTGAATGAAAATCAACTTGTTCTCGGAAAAACAATTCATTCTGGATGCGTCCATATTTTTCTCGTTCTCAGTACTCAAGAATGTGCGTGAGAAAACACAATTGAAACATGTTCTTGCAAAAACATCAGACCATTTTTCCTCTGTAATGCATGGCCCGTAACCAACGTTACAAGAATCACAGTAAGTGACTGAGAAGTCAGGTTAGACGGCGTTTTCGAATCATAAACAGATTTTGATAGTTTCGATGCCGCATCGAACGCCCGACCAGTTGGAACTGATTCCACAAATGAGAGAACAAGGGTTATCTTCCCTCCAAATCGCGGATCTGCTAAACACGACAGTCCGATCCATTCAAAGGGCTTATCTCCGACACGAATTGTTTGGTTATTACTGTCGATTCGTTCGGCGCATTATTGCGACTGAAAACTCCACGTAATTGGCAAACTGTTTTCGTGAAACTTTCACCATTTTTGAAATGCGTTTTTACAATAAATAAACGTTGTTTGCTTGAATACTTCTCCATATTCTTGAATCGCATGTTTTGTACGTGACAACTGTAAAAAAATCAATTTATTGAAAAAATCAGAATCCGTTGCTCTTGTTGGTACACCATTTATGATGAGCCTCAGCTGGCCGGGTTTGTCAGTCACTCATTGTGATTCTTGTAACGTTGGTTACGGCGGGCCATGCATTACAGAGGAGAAATGATCTAATGTTTTTGCAAGAAACATGTTTCAATCGTGTTTTCTCATGCACAATTCTTGACTACTGAGAGCGAGGAAAATATGGACGCATCCAGAATGAATTGTTTTCCGAGAACAAGTTGATTTTCATTCAATTCTCCTCCCAACCAAGATTCGAAGGGCGTTCCAGATTTGGGTCACTTTCAAGAAAACTCTAGATCTTTGATAGCCATCTTGAGTCGATTCTGATATTCAGATCTCTTCATCTGAAGTTTCATCTTCAAAATGAGCCTAAGATTTCCAAAATCGGTTGACGTGGAAAAAAGTTATGGCTGCAAAACCAAAAAGTTGATTTTTTGAGATCACTCTGTAAATAAGAGAGATAGGAAGTTGATTCGCAAAATATCTCGAGGTAATGAGATCATCTTCATGCCTCTGTTGTCGAAGTTGAGAAAAAATTTTTTTTTACCATTTTAGAGCCTTTTGAATATTCCGAAATTTCGCACAGTGTCGGAAAACACCATGTAGAGATTTTATGTGCATACCCTCATGTTTCAATGAAGTACGAGATTATAGCTGAAGGACTGGGCTATCGAACAGTGTGAACCAAATTCAAATTGTTCCAAACTGAAAAAAGTTATTCACATTATAACAGGGGCGACATTTTGGTGTGCAACGAAATTAGTGTTGAGTAGTTTATATTCGAAACCCTCTGTGATGAAATAACCAAATTTTGTACATGTACCTAACTTTTTATGTCCAATTCGAAAATATTGGGAATTTTTAAAATTTTTGACCAGGGGCGTCGGAAGTAGGGACACTTTTTCCCCCAAATTCTTGTTTATGAAATTTTCAGCAGTTTGACCATGCAGGAAATATGAAAGTATGATCATTTTTACTTCAAAATGTTACTCCTGTTCATTTTCGATAGCACTCACCATATTCGATATAAATCGATTTCGAAAGTCTGTTGCGTAATTAAAATAGTACTTTTTGTTAGTATAGTAGTTTTCAATTTATTCTTTACATAGCATCTCCCAATATTTCTAATCAAACATCTAAAGTGGATGTTAACAGAAGGGTTATATTCCATTGAACCATAACTCTTGGGAAAATTCGGTATCCTATTGAGGAAAAAGAACTACTTTTCATTTCGCAGCAGAATTTTAAAATTGATTTCTCAAGAAACTTATAAATGCCAACGGAACCAAAAAAAGAGTACCATTTCTGAGTAAACACGTTGAGATTTTCATATTTCCTGGTCAAACTGCCGAAAATTGCATAAACAAAAAAGTGAGGAGAAAAAGTGCATCCAGTGTCACGA